GTGTGTGTGTGTGTGTGTGTGTGTGTGTGTGTGTGTGTGTGTGTGTGCGCGTGCGTGTGTGTTTGCAGGACTGGCACCTCGGGGGGAAGTGTGATGTGTATCTGTGGGGTGCCGGGCGACACGGCCAGCTGGCAGAGGCCGGCAGAAACATCCTGGTGCCCACAACCGCCCCGTCCTTTTCTCAGGCACAACAGGTACACAAACGTGTCGCGTGTTTGTTAACTAACCCATCCTGGTGACTGTCATCACATCACAGAAGAGTCCAGGATACGTCTGTTATTTACTTATACTTTACTGCAAGACAAGGACAGTGGAAACTGCTTCTAGTGATCGACCGCTTACATGGATCATTACGCTTGGAACAGAAATATTCCTCTACAAATGCTCTTAAAATAATAATAATAACTTTATTTATATTGCACCTTTGAGAACAAAGTTACAAAGTGCTTCACTAAGAAAACTTAGAAGCAAATATGAACCATCAGTACAATTTACCACAGTACTATACAATACAATAAAATGCATATATACATGTATGTATTGCAGTTTTGGTTTGCTAAAAAAAGTGATTTTATCTCAATAAAAAAACAAAATGTGCGGGGAAAGCAACTGTAGTCAAAGGTCCAGTTCATTTATAAAGCCTGGTCACTGGTATCTTAAGAGAGCTCCTTCATCTGCACACTGCACTGACTCAGAGCCAGTAAATTGTGAAGCTTTACGTTTCATAACTTTGTATTCATGCTATAAATATACGAATATCAGTTAATCTGCATGAGTAATAAAGACAAAAGGTTACAGTAATAATTGCCTCTCACACTGTGTAGATATTTATTGGTGCAGATTATGAAGTCAAGTCAATTAGATGTAGGATCCAGTGTTTGTCACGTGGGAATCCTCAGACTTTAAGTATTTAATACCGACTCTTCGGAGTGCCTCTTTGAGTTAATGGATTTTGACATTTTGAATGTTGACGTGCGTTCTTTACCAGCTTTTAAAACATGGTCCCTTTTTGATGTGATTGTTTATTCCCTGCATCTGTCTGCTTGTCTTTCCTTCCTCCAGGTGGTGTGCGGTCAGAACTGCACCTTTGTGATCCAGCCCAACGGGACGGTGTTGGCCTGCGGGGAGGGAAGCTACGGCCGTCTGGGTCAGGGCAACTCTGACGACCTGCACGTCCTCACCGTCGTCTCAGCTCTGCAAGGTGGAGCTGAAATATCACACCCACACACACACACACACACACACACTGTTAAGATTCACTAATATGTTTGACACTAAGACGTGCTCACCTGTGTGTCCTCTGATAGCTTTTAATCAAATCTATTGAGGTTTGAATAACTCTGACTCAACGACTGTCATAAGATTTTAAAACCTACAGTTTTGAGTTGTGAGAAAGTTAATATATTTTCCAGCAAATGTTGATTCGATATGACTTATTGAAATAACAGCTCTAGCTTACTGACTTTACTCTTTATTTTTCATGAGCTCTTAAATCCGAACACTGGAGGTCCTTCTGCAGAATTATTAAGTTTTTATAAGCTTAAAGAGACTTATCCTGAATCAACGCTTTAAAGCACCAAAGTCACACAATAACACAAAAACACTGGAAAATAAAATAAAACCAGGCGGCAACCTGGAAAGTTCAGAAAAGTGAAATCAAAGCTTCATGTGTTAAAGCTGCATTCTCTCTAGTGTCCAC